ATGAGTGCAGCTGCTGTTTCTGGTCGGGCGGCAATCCCGGCTCAGGCCCCGCCAGCTGGTCCATCCACGATTCGGCCCCTCTGTCCTCGGACTGGCTGATGCTGCCTACAAGCTCGGGCTTTGTCCCTGGGGCTCCTAGTGACAAGGGACTAACGTGGGCCAGAACTGTTCCCTCCTGCACCGTCGCTGTTCTATCGGAGATGTTCAGCACCTGAATGAACAGATGCTGGTTCCTCTGTACAATAGTTTCGGCCCCCACCAGCGCATGGCGATCCATGGCAGCTGATGCCGGAGACACCAGGATGGGTGAGTCTGGTCGGGCTGTCACGAGGGGAGACCGATATTGCAGCGGAATCAGCATCTGGGCTGCCGGGGGAATGGAGACAGACTTACTGACCAGAGCCTGCACGTAGGGTACTCCCCGGCTGGCTCCCTCCGCCTTTAGGAAATGGAGATGCGTTCCCTGGACTTCCACCCGCCCATTGGCCAGATCGATTTTCATTGGCATCCGCCTCAGAAAGTCCGTCCCCAACAGGCAGGGTACGGGCAATGTTGCGGAGACAAGGATGGGTCCTGCTACCGAAAGCTGCCCAATCTGTATCGGGGCTTCAACCTGGCCCAGGAAGCCCATGCTGCCTCCATTTGCTGCAATGAACGTTGTCTTGACGGGGACTAAAGGTCGGATTTTATCCGGCAGCATCTCGTGCATGGTGCTCGAGATGATCGTGGCTGATGCCCCCGTATCAACCAAGATACGTGCCGACACTCCCGCGATTTCACCGACCAGGACCGAGGTTCCTGACGTGGCCGCTACCACCCGCCTTGCCAGCTTCCTCCATTGTGTGGCTGAGTCCGGCCACTGACCAGGCGGCGTCTCGTTATCCTGTGGTGCATGGTGAAATGATGGGGGATGGATGTGAATGGACTGAAGATGGGGTTCCTCCCTTTGGAGTGCGTCGCAGCAGGGTGAACGCGCCCTTGTTACATAGTGTGGGCTTACCCCTGGGTTGCGGGCTGGGCTCTCTGTGTGGTGCAAATTGCCCCCCTTTGGTGACGTAGGATGGGCCCCCCTTGTGGTGTGGGGGGCCCCCCCCATTGTAGGGGGCAGTGGGGACTGGGGGGTGGGCCTTCCCGTGAGCCCCTCCCTTCTCCCCTCCCTTCCCTTTGTCACGGGGGCGTGGTCCCCCTGGTTCCGTCTCAATCTGCCGCAAAGCGGTGGTGAGGCAGCCCGTGGAACTGCTTCAGGGCGCACTGTCAATCTTGTGGGCTGCCTCCGCCCCCGGGCCGTTGCCCCTGGCAACTCGCCGGCGTCGCAGGCAATTGGTGACGTCACGCCCGCCGGCGACGTCACGCTCGCCCGCGACGTCACGCCCGCCCGCGACGTCACGCCCGCCCGCGACGTCACGCCCGCCCGCGACGTCACGCCCGCCCGCGACGTCACGCCCGCCCGGGACGTCACGCCCGCCCGCGACGTCACGCCCGCCGGTGAAACCACGCCCGCCCGCGACGTCACCTCCGCCCGCGACGTCACCTCCGCCCGCGACGTCACGTCCGCCCGCGACGTCCCTTCCGGCCCCGGCGCGACTCCCGACGCGGTCTCCGGCCCCGGCGCGACTCCCGACGCGGTCTCCGGCCCCGGCGCGATCCCCGACGTGGTCCACGGCCCCGGCGCAATTCCCGGCGCGATCCGCGACACCACTCCTGGCCGCGACGTCACTCCCGGATGCAACGTCACGTCCGTTCGCGACGCCACTCCGGGTCGCGACGCCACCCCTGGTCGCGACGCAATCCCAGGCCCCGGCGCTATCCCCGGCGCGATTCCCTTCCCCCGACCCGGACAATGGGGACCGGGGAACGACACCGACGGCGCCCACCCCGAGGAGACTCCCGGTAAGTTCGCGGCGTCGGAATTATAATTGCTCGGCCCGACCGAGAGGCCGGGCGGGAAGGCGTCACTCGCCTGGATCCTGTCGGCGTTCGGCCCCGGCGGGTTCCAGGTAACGTTGGCGGCCTCCGGCTCTGTGCGGCACCCCCTCGCCACATGCCCCTCTCGACCACAACGGTGGCAGACCCACGGGGCGTTCCGTCGGGGGGGCTCGGCGCGATGTTGTAGAGGCGGCTGCCAGCGACGCGGCGGTTGGTCGCGCCCCTGGTCCCTCTGCTCCGCCAGTCCCCGGATCGCCGCGTACACCTCCCGTAGCGATGGCTCCGTCTCAGACGTCGGGGGTCCGTCCCCAGCTGCTCCACAGGCAGCCTGTGGCGACGGTGCAGGTTCGGCGGTTGGTGTCGCTGGACCCAGTAGTGCCGCGGCAACGGCTCGGCTGTTCCCCCCCGCCGCGCCAGCTACCGGGCCCACGGGTGGCGCCCGGCCCATGACCTGCTCGTGGGCTTGGATGGTCCGGGCAGCCCACAGCGAGGTGCGTTCCCCCGGCGTCACCACGGGCATTACAACGCCGGCGCGGCAAGCGTAGGCGATGAGGTGCTCGACCACGAGATCCTCGAGCGCTTCTTCAGCCAGGCGAGGGAAAGCTCTCCTCGCCAACACGAGCAGTGCACCCCTGTAGGATAAAGGGGATTCTTTAGCCCCTCGCTGGCGATCCTGGAACCGTTTAAAGGCCCCTTCCGCCGGGCAATAGATCTCCCCCAAAGCCTCGTAGGCCGCCTGTAGCGTGGTCTTGCTGTGCGAGGGAAGGGAGGTGTAAGAGGCGAGTGCTTCCTTGCCCAGAACGGATGGCAGCGCTCGTAGTGCCTCTTCGTCTGTCCACTCGAGAGCGTGGAAGGCAGCCTCGAATCGGCGGACAAACTCCTCCCAGTCTTCTTCCTCAGCCACGAACTTGTCGACGGGCCCCAGCCGACGCGGCCGTCCGGCCACCTGCTCTCCGTGTTGGGTGGTTAGCCCTGGGGGTTTTGGCGGGACCGGCGGCGGCTGGCGTGACGAGGTTGGTTGCCCGGCCGGCTGGTCGGCCTCCGGGTCCCGTGGCCTCTCCTCCCGTAGTACGCGTGGGGGTGGGGGTCCCGGTGCTGGCGGGTCCCCCATAGGGAGCCTCTGTAGGAGCTCCTGGAGTGCCCTCTCCACGCGGGCCATGCGGTCCTCCATGGTGTCCTCCAGGCGATCCGGGCCCCCTGCTGCTGCTTCTGATAGCAGGCCCCCTTGTTGCCCGGGATGGGAAGGATCCCCGGCCCCTGCTTCCTCCTCCCTTGGCTCTTTCCCGCGGGGATTTTTCTTTGTAGCCATGAGATCCCACCGCTGCCACCAGATGTAAAGTAGGAGCCGACACCAGATTGCAGGGGTCTCGTCCTTTATTCTTTTCCTTCCATCCACACCTGTCCCCCAGCCGTCCCAATCTCGTTCCCGCCAAAGGCCCCCTCTTCCCGCCCGTTCTCTCCTTATATCTCTTCGATCACCCCTCCCACTAACCCATCTATTGGTGGGAATCCTTCCCCTGACACCCCTACACATACATACAGGCACACGGACAATCAATCATACGTGCACAGACCCAGACATACAAAGGCACCCGCACACACGTGCACACACACACGGGCGCTTGCACAGAATCACATAAATAAATACCCGTCAAAAAGTGACATCGGCCACTGACTCTTAAAATAAATATAAAGCCTCACACTTGCCAAAGGACCATTTGGAATCTTTCTCTTCCATGTCTGTGTAGTAACTTGAGAATAACTTACTCCGGTGTTTTCTTACATGACTGTCCTGCAACGATGGTAGGTGAGGATGATTCAAATTCAATATGCAATAAATAAATAAATTATAAATTTATTCTATATAATTTAACTAGGCAGAGGAAAACAATATTTATGCTTAAACAATCAGATTTCCATTGCGCCCATCTATCATGGTTCTGTAGTCACATCTATGTGCCCAGCCTTCACCAATCACCACAGAGCAGTGTTGTGATGTGTGGTTAAGTAACCCCTACAACCCACACGGCACGGAAATGCCATCATCCTGCAGTGGATTTGGAAAAGTGCTGTGTACGCGTGACAGTAGAACAGGTGTTTAACAATATCATTCAATTCTCAAACACCACCACAACATAACACCCAACAATATGTACAGACTCCTGAAAAAAATGACGCTCAGAGCCGCCCCTAAACTAGAAACTAAACTATATTCTTTGGGTCTTTCGGTAAAGTCACGTAGATAGGTTCAAAGAAAATAACAGAAAATAACAAAACTAAACTGTATTTAATTTTACCAGGTAAGGTCCACTGAGCTATACAGCTCTTTTTCAGAAACGATAGTTCAACGAAGTGGCTTATCACGTGTTCATATTTCGCAGCCCAACACTCTAAACGCATGTTTCTAAATGTGGAGGGAAAAACCCGGAGAACAATCCACGCGACCACGGGGAGAACATGCAAACCTCAAATATACGGGCATCATCAGGGTCGGGATCGAACCCACGAGACCTCCTTGCATACCAGACGTGGGAGTTAATATCTCTCCACCGTGGCGCCCACCCAGAGGTTCCTGGAGGACAGGGACCAGAATTCTATGCGGGACCTCCTTATTTCACCGTCCACATGCCTCTCGCTGTTTTGTGCGAGGCCCGGGGCAGACAGTATTGCCCCTGTTGGCACTGCTTCTGGGTGGCCGTGCAAACTTCCTAGCCATCGAACACTGATGGTGAACACACGAAGGAGCATAAACCATCACGTGAACTCTGGTCATCCTCGCTGTGGCTTTTGACGAGCCATTGAACATAGACGGTCAACGCATCGTGCGCTTTCAGATGCGCTTCTGCGGCCGTCTGGAACGCTCTTCCTTCTGATATTAGGAAGCCACTGGACCGATGCACTTTTAGATCGAGATTGAAAATTCACTTCTTGAGAACTGCTTCTTGTGTTTAGTTTATTGGCCTTCCCCCGCACCTCCGGTTAGCGCGGTTGGCTACGTACGGTGCGAAAGAAGTTCAATGTACATATGTACTACTGTACATACAATGCTCTCTCGCCCCTGCTGGACATCTCACCTGAGTGACGAGGTCCGTGATGTCGAGATGCAGCCCGGATAGGTGACCGTTTGCGAAGGCGAGCAGCATCTGAAGACACACCTTAGCTGGTCATCGCAGGCAAGGGATTGGACTCACTGTGGGATTTTGCAGTGGTTGTTCTGGCCTCTTGGAGGGCCCTAAGTAGAAATTATTCATGGGATGAGGGGGGGGGGGCTTTGGATTTATAAACACCTAGCGACGAGACAGAAGAGATAGAGTTAGATTAAAGAAGAGAGATACAGATGAGACACGGATGTAGTGTTGATATTCGAGAGATGTATGCAAAAAAACTAAGTTTGAGTTATTATTACAGAAGGGAGATGTACACAAGATAGGGATGAGAAGGATTAATTCGCTTTGTAAATGTTAATAGAGTATGATTTTTCTGTTCATTAGGATTTCAAATTGATCTCATATTTGGTTCGACCGTTTTTTTGTTTGCATTCATTTTGGGCCCTTTCAGCTGCTTGGGCTCTGAACGTTTGGCTTGGTCTGCTCTAGGCTTCGTGCCACCCCCGTGTGGGTCATGTTTGATGAGGCAGGAGGGTAGGGTTCAGATCTCGTGGTGTTCACGAACTTTAAAGTTCACCAATTGACCCAAAACCCAATATCTGCTCTGGCGTCTCTGTGCAATGGGTATTGTTTTACATAAAGCGCACTGTGTTTTACACATAAGGACTAATTAAAATCACCACCACTGTTTAATCACAAAGGTGGAAGTCATTATTTATGGAATCCATCTGCGTGGATCTTTGACCTTTATCTCCTTGAATACCTCGATTTTCTCCAAGTACTCCCGTTGCCTTACACATGCCAAAAACTCATCAAATAGAAAATTGTCCAAACTTCATGACAAGTCTTTGCTGAATACAGGGCAGTGACATGGACGAGCGGTAGCACATCTGCTGCTCATTACAGAGGTTCGAGGTTTGAGCTGAGCGGCAGCCCTGGTTAATACTTCCCAGGTGTACTGACCAAACACGTGCCATCTACTGCACAGCGGACGTTAAAGATCCCGCGACGTTATTCGAACAAGAGCAGGCCATGTGCGCCAGCGTCACGACACAAATGTAAAAAGTTACTCGCAAATTTTCTAATTGAAAAAAAAACACATAGCGACATCACCTCCGACTGTAAAACTACGGCAATACCATGCACATTTGGGTGTTTGCGCACTTGTTCGTGAAGCGCAATGATGTGAAATTTCGATGTAAAGCTTTCGTGACTGCAGGGATTCATCTTCTTGGTTCTTTCGGTAAAGTCACGTAGAAGGGAAATAATAAAATAATAAAAATAAAACATAATAAAATAATTCTCACGACGTTTCGGCCACAACGCAAGCAGCCGTCCTCAGGTAAAGAATACCATACTTGGGTGTGAAACAGAGCGCCTTCATGATAGCCTCACGCTAAAAAAATGGTACCCATACCGAATTAGCTAATGATATGATTTCATTATCACATTCTATTTCAAAACTTACAATCTGTACCATGTATAAAGCAATGTTAACCTAAATTTTGATTTAAAGCTTTCGTGATTGCAGAGATCCATATTCTATAATAATAATACAATATATAAAAAATATTTTTTTAATATATTTTTTTATTATTTTATTGTTTCCCTTCTACGTGACTTTACCGAAAGAACCAAGAATATAATGTTAACCTACTTAAATTTTCATGCATTTCTGTCTGTTGCTGTCAGGATACTGTTGGATTTTTTTCATAATACAATCGACCGCGACAAATCTCAACCACACCTCAGCAACGGTAAGGCCCACGCCCCTGCTGAACATTTTTCGTTGGCTTTTATCTGCTTCTCTGTTGTAATAGCCTCAACGGCGAGAGAGAGATGCTGCATAATATATCAAAGCTTCAACACGTTTCTAAAAGTGTTCTCAACATCTTCTGTCAACAGACACTTTTGTAATGCCAACAAATAACTTTCATAATCAACCGCGTAACATGACCTTCCTTGTTCAGTGGTGGAGTGGGGGTGGCAATACAAACACTCCTGACGGAGCTGGGGGGGTGGGCACGCCACAGCCAATGTTAAACAAACTCGAAGCAAATGTGGCACGCGAAAATAGAATGAGTAACGACAATCTCCTTTTGTCTATCATCCACCATGCTCGACCGAGCTCTCGCCCAGACGTGTTGGTGCAACGCCTCTGATGCCCAATACTCGATCGGACTAAAATGTCGCATTTCGTCCAGCTCTGACCACCCAACATTCTCTTGACTTTGACGATAAGAATTTAAAAGGTGCCCTGAGCCTTCAGTAGTGGGGGGGGGGAGGTCGGCTTCCTCCAGGTGCTCACACTTCCCCCCACCCACCATCCCCCCACCCACCTCCCCCCCACCCACCTTCCCCCCACCCACCTTCCCCCCCCCCACCCACCTTCCCCCCCCACCCACCTTCCCCCCCCACCCACCTTCCCCCCCCACCCACCTTCCCCCCCCACCCACCTTCCCCCCCCCACCCACCTCCCCCCCCCACCCACCTTCCCCCCCCACCCACCTTCCCCCCCCACCCACCTTCCCCCCCCACCTACCTCCCCCCCCCACCCACCTTCCCCCCCCACCCACCTTCCCCCCCACCCACCTTCCCCCCCACCCACCTTCCCCCCCACCCACCTTCCCCCCCACCCACCTTCCCAACCCACCCACCTTCCCCCCCACCCACCTTCCCCCCCCACCCACCTTCCCCCCCCACCCACCTTCCCCCCCCACCCACCTTCCCCCCCCCCACCCACCTTCCCCCCCCACCCACCTTTCCACTCCCCACTTCCCCCCACCCACCTTCTCCCCACTTCCCCCCACCCACCTTACCCCCACCTTCCCCCCCACCCACCTTCCCCCCCGCCCGCCACCCAGACGCTATGGGGTTGGCTTTGAAGGGATTTTTAGACACGGGAATGGCGTGCCTGGCGACTAGCCTTATTTAAGATGTAGCTTTGGGTGTGTAACGCCACCCACTGGTCAATTCTTGAGTTCGGTAGCATTTTCTGAAGCCCGGTTGTGTATGCGGTGATGGAAATATATTATTCAGAGTATCCAGCCCTTTTCTAGTCCACCCACACAACTATGCACGCCATGTCAGTCATTGGAGTTGTTTAACCACACCGACAGTCCTCGACTTACGAACGGAATCCGCTCGTAAGTCGGGGACTGTCAGAGCTTGATCATAACGGAGAGTGAGGAGGGCTGGGAAGTCGTGGTGGGGAGAGATGTGAGCCGCAGCCAATTGAACCGAAGATCTCCAGGTTCATTGAGCAGCGCAGTGCTAACCACTGCGCCACCGCGCCACCCCCCGAATGTTGCAAGAAATAAATGTGTAAATGTAGACCCCCTTTTACATCAACTGCCACGACAATTCAAAGAGATTGATTGATTTACCTGTTCAACCTGAGGCACTTTTTCCGGCGAGACTCTGAAAATGACGTCGATGGGATTGTCGCCTGGAAGATATTTGTGGAAATTAAAGTTGTGTTCATCGAAACAATTTTAAAGGAGCAATAATAATAATGGGATTTTGTAAATAAATGCAAGCGGTGCTCTTTGTGTACGACTGTCAATGTATGACTCACTGTTCTGGCACTCTCTCTCTACTTGCAACCTTGTAAACGAAACGAGACAATTTAATTAGCAACTCCATTCACGACACGTGATACGTCGCATATCTGGCTCTGTGAGGACTGAGCTATGGGTGGATACGTGAAAAGGTCAGGTATGTGAACGTCTACAGGACCATTACACGATGCACACCTACTCTAACGAATGTCCAGAGCACAATGTGCATCTTTCCTTGTCAGCCATTCTTCTCAAACACATCGTCCATTCCGTGAGCATGATTGCCCCTGGGCTGTGTCAGGTCTATGACACGCCTTGGCTCGCCACCTCTCCTGGTTTTCCCAGCAGCATCCTCTGTGTGAGGTAGCTCTCCTGGGAAACCCGTAAGCGTTCCCAGGACATTCAACGTCTTTGTTTTTCTCCGTTGCACAATTATCATACACCACTCAAGGCAATGCATACACGGGGAGTTCCCCACTCACTCTCCCCTGATCGTGAGTGATATTCTCTACCACAGTGTTCTTCGGGGCCGTCCATAAATGACGTCACGCGATTTTGGACGATTTTGACCCCCCCCCCCTCTCGTCACACGGCGTCACAAAAAGTCAGACCCCCCCCCTCAAATATGACGTCACAAAGCTCTGCCCCCCCCCCCCAAACCATATTTCCATTTTGAAAATAAAACATGCTTCAAATCGCGTTAAACTATTGTCATTGTAGTGCGTATTTAATGTGGCGCTGCACTCTGATGTTGTAGGAGTGTTGTTATAACAATTAGTGTTGTTATAACAATTCTATATTTATACTGGTAGGAACGAAGTGAACCAGCCTACAATAGATTATATCGTCCGTCCGTCCGATGTCCGATTAGGTGTAGCAACATCGCCCCCTACTGCAAACACTTGGCAGGACCCTACAAAAACCTTTAGACTCAGTGAGGCTTTCCTGGCTAAACAAGTGTAACATTCCCTTATAATTCCCTGAGATAGTTTTTAATTAAAACATTTAAATTAAAAATTAACTCACAGCGGCCTAAAGCCTACAGCTAGGCCTAAAGCCTAGAACTAGGCCTCAAACTCTCCCTTCGTATCGTATTTGTTCGTTCCTACCAGCCCACCCCGCAGGGACCTGTTTTAAAGTTGCGCATTTTTATGTGAAGCCACATTTCTCAACCGCCCCCCCCTCGTCACACATCGTCACAAAAATCTGACCCCCCCGCCCCCCTAGGTGCGTGACGTCATTTATGGACGGCCCCTTCACAATTATTCAGAAGGGGGCTACTTGCGCCGGTAAGACATCGAGGGCCGCCACACATTTGAAGCCATTTGGGTTTGAGAGCAGCACGATGATGCTGCGGGGTGTTTGTGTATTGACGGGGGCCGCATGTCAGGGGCCGCACTCAAGGCCACCAGGGACCGCCAGTAGCCCCCGGGGGCCTTGCAATGAAGAACACCGCTCGATCCCGTGGAATGCCTCAGTATCCATCAAATTCACCGTCTTGGTTCTTTCGGTAAAGTCACGTAGAAGGAAATTAATAAAATAATAAAAATAAAACATAATTAAATTATTCTCACGACGTTTCGGCCACAACGCAAGCAGCCGTCTTCAGGTAGAGAACAGGTCTGTCAAGTAGACAGTCAGACTCTGTCTACTTGACAGACCTAAAATAATAAAAATAAAACATAATTAAATTATTCTCACGACGTTTCGGCCACAACGCAAGCAGCCGTCTTCAGGTGGAGAACAGGTGTGTCAAGTAGACAGAGTCAGACTCTGTCAAATAATAAAAATAAAACATAAGTCAGACACTGTCTACTTGACAGACCTGTTCTCCACCTGAAGACGGCTGCTTGCGTTGTGGCCAAAACGTCGTGAGAATAATTATATTATGTTTTATTTTTATTATTTTATTTATTTCCTTCTACGTGACTTTACCGAAAGAACCAAGACGATGAATCCCTGCAGTCACGAAAGCTTTAAATCGAAATTTATCCATCAAATTGTTTTGGGTTAGATCGCGTAACCCACCAAAAAAAACCCTGTGTTATGGATGATATTGATCGCGAAAGCCTACTGCGTGTTAAAATGCTTCAGTATAGTAGTAGGTTTTTACCCTTTCAACTGGTACAAAAACTGACACCTTTATACAAGGCATCATGTTTGCAATAACCACATAAAGGTGTCAGTTTTTGTACCAGTTGAAAGGGTAAAAACCTACTACTATATTTTGCCACTGGTAAAGGAGATGTCTCATAGTGTAAATGCTTACCCCAAGCTCTCAATACTCTGATAGTGCGCTGTCTTTGAGTTGTACGCCTTTTGGCATCATCTGGTCCAACACCAATGGAGACTAGGCTCTAATAAAAGCTGTCTCGGGTGTGGACCAATCAACTTCAAGGACAGTGCATATCATTATCATCGTCAGAGTTGTTTCTTTTTGTTTGCATTTTGACTGCTTGTGTTGTGGTTATTGCAAACATGATGCCTTGTATAAAGGTGTCAGTTTTTGTACCAGTTGAAAGGGTAAAAACCTACTACTATATTTTGCCACTGGTAACGGAGATGTCTCATAATGCTTCAGTATATTTGTACCTCAGAATCGGCATCCCTAGGCCCACTCCTGTGGGTTGTGTGCGTGCGTGAGATCGTGCGTTTGCCTCACTGATTTGGAGTCAGCTCTTCCATAACCTGCTCGGCCTTCAGTGTGTCTTTGCCTTTCTGAACCGCACAGAACAAACGTGGGATTATCGTGAGCTTGACGATCGCATTACATTTTTGAGACATTATCGTATCGTTTCTTTATAAAAAATGTAACTAAATTTCAGCAGGTGATGAGTGCGCATTCGGCTTTCATAAGTTGCTGTAATTATACCCTGTTAAGCAAATGGTCCTGGAAATTATTTTTGGTATTTTACCAGTGTGGCAGGCTCCTATGAAGGTGAGCTACTAAATTAAATGTGCCTGTTCATATATGCGAATGATTATTTTTGATAACCTAGAATAGGCAAATCGGAATTGAACAAGACAGAAGAACGGAGACTGGAGCTGCGGTGAGTTTGGTGAGATATTGATCTCCGTTCAAGATGTGAATTACCATATTTCCCAGGTGTGTCACTCATAGATGTGTGTGGATAGACACAATGGCACACGAACATTGACACAAAGACACACACACACATCTACGTACATCCATACATACATCGACACACCCACACAGATACATGGGGAGATGGACAGGCCTACGTGTAAGGATTGAATGCAAGCAGTTACTATTCTCCTCTGACCGTGGCATTATTTTGGAGTATTTCGAGTATTCGGGTGCTATACATTTCCACGTGATGAGCCACTTCGTTGGGCTATCATTTGTGGCGTTCTGAAAAAGAGCTATATATCTCAGGGGGCCTTTTTTGGTAAAATTAAAAAATTGTTTAGTTTATAGTTTATGACAAATAAAACACTGGGTAGGCAATGCAACCTACTCATACCGGACTCGTATTTTTGCGAGACTAGACTGAGGTCGAACAACCTGCAGCGCTGGGAGCCTCGAGGATTTATCCCATGTTCAAATTTCTCCGCGTTATTCTTCGTGTAAAAAAAACTGTCGCAGAAAATGTATTTGAAAATCATCGATTCGTTCTTAAGCGAGATGCGACCTCACCTCCAGCAGGTAGGCTTTGACCGAGACTCCGTGGGGCAGGAGGACTTTGGGGGAGAAATGTTGCACCATGCGAATGAGCAGGTGCATGGTGGCGAGGGTGTTCTTGCTGTGGATCGCTGCACGGGAAACAGCCATTGCATCGTCACAAATATGTGCATCAATCACTGACTTAAGAGTAAAACATTCCATTTCGGCAAGGCAGGTGCGGATAGGTGCAACTGCAGCCATGCGACCCAAACTAAGGACCGCGTAGTAAACCTCTGTTGCCTGCGCTACTTCAATGGAGTAGGAACAGCAAAAAACTACACAGACGCTCTCCTGATGCCCTCCCGTGGCCAGCAGACCTCGACATTTAGCTCCTGAAAATATTGCTGCGATACCCAAGAAAGGAATGGGTGAAGGTTTAGACACATCACGTATCCACGATAATAAACACATGGCTGGCATTTAGGATGGACAACAACAGGAATATTTAAACCGTGTTGTACGGAAAAATGGAAGGAACCGAGACGAAGGCCTAACACACAATGGATTGGCGACAAAATAGATTGGTGCCAGAAATATGTGCACGACTTGAGCATAGTGGCACAACACAAGGGAGAGTGGAAAGAAATTACCAAATGTGCAGTGAACACCTACCGGCGATCTGCCTATGGATCGTGATGATGAATGAATGAGCCTGGCTGGGCATGAAGCCTGGCTGATATTCCATAACATCGTGCAAAAATGTATTATGCACTGCATTTGGCACTTTGTTGGTAATACATAAATTAATGAATAGTCAAGGGCATGTTCTGCCCGCCAACCAAATATACGTTCTCATCGGGCACAATCACCGCTCACGGATCCGGTGTCTCCACTCACACTTGACAGTCCACTTGACTTTGCTTGGATCCTGGGCACATAGCTGCTGGTCGAGGTTCTGCAGGATGAGGTTGAGTTTGTGGTTCTGGATTTCCTCGGAGAGCGCAATCTCCGGCACGTCGAGCTTCACGTGGCCCAGCTTTTCTGCAGAGCGAGAGGTGGTGCGGTGAACGGTGTGATTTCCACTGGGTACTTTCATGTGCGTATGTTGAACTTCTTTCGCACCGTACGTAGCCAACCATGCTCACACTTATCTCTCTAGACATCGGGGTTTATCAACCATAGTCACACCATGGGTGCGTCCACCTCTACCAAGACGTGCGGCCTAGCAGATGTCCAGTAGGGCAGGTTCAATGCAGACGCATGGATTTCTGTCCGTCTGCTCGACTAGTCACTTACCCAGGAGATGCTGGAGCACCAGCCCATCGAAGAAGTCGTCCTTGACGGAGCGGACTTTAACGTTCTCCTCTCGCAGGGTGCAGTTCACCCAGGCCAGCAGAGCCTGCGAGTGACAGGGGAGACAGCGGATGCGATGCAGATTCACACGGCATACACAAACAGCACAAATATCTCAAGACAAACCTAAGAGAAATATTTGAAGGCTACACGAATAAACACACAATTATGATTTTAGAAAAGGACAAAATAATGTTAAAGGAAAACATTTAAACCCTCAAAGGAACAACAACAATGATTAAGAGCATGGAGTTTTACTCATGTGGCATGGTAGCGTAACGGTTGTGGGTTTGTGTTCGGGAAGTGAGATGTAGCACACACATGCAATGCCTATTAATAGAAAATGTTTGAGTAGATTTTGTACGCAACTTTGCACTGTGTTAATGAAGCCAGTGGCAGATCAAAGGCAGGTGGGGAGAGGGACCTCTAAAATTGGTGCTAACATTACCAGATAAAATACGTGGAATGTTTTTGTTTTTATTCATGTTGAGTCCTTTTAAAAAAAAAAAACTAGAAATTTCGGGAGCCCTTCGGAAGTAACAAGATCACCCAGAGGCAGTAGTTATTTATACATGAAAGAAAATACAACAATTTAGCTTTTGTAAAACCAAATCAAAGTGACGTATTTCTCAAAATGTAACCACTTGTAATGCACCATAAAGAGGAGGCTCATTATATATTACATTTAAAAAAACCGTTGCAACAAAGCAGTTTATTGCAAGCAGAAAGTAGGAAGTGACCAGTGGACTGCACCATTTCACCACAGCCAATTCTCCCCTTCTCTGGGATTTGGTATGGTCCTTGTGGTTGAAATGTCTGCCGGTGGTCTGGCCAGTGGCGCAGGCACTATCACTCATCTCGCCTCCACGGAGCCTGGAACCAGCAGCTAATCTACCAGCCATAACACTGAACTCTCCTAATGTAATCCACAGCAGCGCTGTACATTAAACAGCACACACACACACAAGACCCACCAGAGGTTGCTTATCCCTCACCAGGTCTGACAAGAGCAATGGCACTGGACGTTCAGCTGCCTACCCCTGTTGTCTGAAACACGCGGATTTTAGTCTAATATTGTGACCATAGAGCGGCGCTTAAATTCCAAATTCCTTGCCCATTACACGGATACCCATACCTTCATTGTTCGGACTTTGTTTTTTTATGTTTTAAAAAATATTTTCCTGCAATTTTATCCAAGCATTGTGTCATGGGACGAAGTATCAATTCGGACCTCTTGCAAAGCAATGCAGCTATTTGCTTGAGATTGGCAGATATCACATAACTACCGAAAAGCTCCCTTCACGTAAACTCTGGTCAACACAGAACCCGGTATTACTGTCCCCACCGGGTCTGCCTCAGAGAGTAATGTTCGTCACATGACAGTAAAGTTGATATTTTTTGTTATCTCTCAGAGCTGGAATTTCACCAAATTAAGTGCAAAACCAAAATGTGTGTGCAATGATATTATTGGGCACCTAGCAGAGGCCATGAACTTAGTATGCTTGAGAAGCCGGCTTAATCACAGGTGCCTGCCTGGATTCCAACCCAGGATCTCAGCAATGCCAGCTCAGTATCCCGACCTCTGAGCCACCTGGTCGCCTACAATGTGATTATTTTAAATGTTTCATGCCACCTGGGAGTTACACTTGCGGTCAGCGAATGCTCCCAAACTGCACTGTTCACTTGACGGAGAGCGGGAATGGTTTTGTGAGCGAATTGACCGTTTTGTGGACATAAACCCAAAACCAGGGCACACCGCGATCGCGAAGGTCACGTGCAATTATGGCAACACAATTTGATGGCATCAAACATCTTACAGGAGCGGCTTGTATTTTAACTCTAAATGAGATGTGATGAAAAAAAAACACACAACTATATCATGAAACTTTCAAATGCTGTCAGCGTAAAGTGGGGAGAGAAACATGCAGTTTGGAAAGAGCTTCGATAAACGGAAACACGAAGAGGGGTCCTGAAGATGAATGTGGGAACTGGTTTGACTCAGGCAGAGGTCCGATCGACCACCGAGTTGGAGTGTGCACCTCAGACAGCTGGAGAAACTTTTCATCCCGATACACGATGGGCTGTATCACCAGTGTCGTCTCATTTTCGTCTGAAGTGGCGGGCCGGGGGGTGGGGAAGAGCACCACAAAATGCTGGTTTAATTTTTCTTAATCAATAACCACATTTTTTATATTCCTGTTCACTGTATTAACAAAGTGTTGTCTTTGTTTAGACAACTTATTTTAAATGTTACAATTATAAGTCGATTCTTTCATTTGCCCAATAAATGCTCAACTGAGCCTTCGGCCTTTTTTCATCAGCCTTAGGATGTTTGGCGAACTCCAAATTATGTTTTAGTGTGGCGAGGGAAAGCATAAAACCTGGGGACTTCCACGCCCTGCTGATGTTGCTTTTAACTTACGTGCCGATACGACAGTGTATTTGACCAACCTTGACGCTGGTCAGTACAAGTTGAGTAGGGAGGCCCTCATTCAGCATTGAATTGGCAAAGAGCTGTGCATGTACATTTAGAGTAGTGGGTTTAGAATAATACAAGACTATACCTCTAGAGCTCCTGCGTTTTTAGAAATATACATGTGTAAAAAAAACTGGAGCTGTGGAGTGCAGATGAACTATATGGGTCACATAAAAAGACGAAAACACATCCATTGCCTTTGCAATTTGTCTAAATATTGGTAACGGACACATTGCTACATTCTCGCTACAAATCCGATGTAAATAAACATTTTTCAAGACTTGAATCTGACCCCATTTATCTTCATACCCAGATCGCAGTCTTCATCAAGTTGTAGATCTTTCATGACATCCGACACGTTCAGACTCGTGGCCATGGTCTCTGAGCATTCACACAACATTCATTAGAAAGCACTCGAATTGGCATGTTCCTTTCCTAAGCCAAAAGTCCCATGACTGCATGGGGTTGGCTGATCGGTTTCTCTCTCCATGTGCTTCTATTCTCTGCCTCTTCTCTGGTCGCATCCCACATCTCTTTCTAACACATTCCCCCATCTTACCCTCAGTGTCCCTGGACTCAATCTGCTCTGCACCGGTGGCATCTCCACAGTCCTAATTGCATCTCCTTTGTATCTTATCAACATAATTCACATCTTCTCTCAAGGGCTCTATGTGGGGCCCTCTCAAGGCGGTATATAAAAATGTGTTTTCTGGATCTGGGTAAATATTAACGCAACTATTGATGTGGTCTACCCAACACTTGGCTACTCACAAAATACAGCAGAGGCCACCACATTTCACACCTTGTGAAACACAACTGATTGCTGGCACTCGCTTTACGAAACATACTAATGCCACACCCACGAGTAGAATGCCGTCTCAAGCATCGGTATCACACAGTGCAACATTTCCTTTCCCCGACTCTCACTGTTCGACATCGACTATCCGTGCCTGTTCTCAGTATCCGGCATTATTCTCTTGCTACGTCCATATTCCCTCGACAATGCATAAGCCTGACATAGTTCCGTGCGAAAAATAACGCTTACCTCTCTTAATATTACCCGAAGGGTTGCGGCGACGGACAAGTTTATGTTATTTGCTTTGCTGCGAAAGAGCGCCCGTAGCCTGAATGTGTCATCGGTGCCGTGACGCCAGTGCCCAGGCGGTGACACCCGCGCGCTCGCACAGAAGCAGACGGAAGTTTTGGGCCACGAGTTTCCCCTTAATCGCAGCGCTATCTGCCGAACCAGGGCTCACCGCAGCTTCACGAGGCACCGACACGTGCGGCTGCGCATTCACGCGTCCGGCTCGCAGGCGGCGGCTCGTGGCTTTGGTTCCCTTGAGTCGCGTTGAGTGTTGGAGCATTGCCGAGGGGGAGAACCTTTTATTTCTCAACCGAGAGCCGAATGGAACTTTGAAATACATCTGACGTGGGTAGTGTTATTGACGCACACCTCAGTTCACTTCTGTCAATGGAAGAGGCCCTTGCGGTGACAGAAGTGTCAGAAACAGTACTGTCAGGCCTACGATAGTCCCCTCTAGTACCCGATTAGTGCGGATAAAATGCAGGGAAAGAAGGGAGCTAAACATTAGAAACAGTATTGATTTAAAGCTTTCGTGACTGCAGGGATTCAAAACAATATTTTATTATTTTATTGTTTTCCCTTCTACGTGACTTTACCGAGAGAACCAATAATATTAGAAACAGTGTTGAACAAATCAATAATCTGGTTCTCTCATAGGAGATTAGTACAGTTACGGATCAATATTGTTTGTAGGCTATTCCAAAGTAGTTAGGCCTCGTGTGGTCGTGGTCTGGCCAGTTGTCTGTCGGTCCCTCACCTCTGTTGCATGACCTCAACACACAACAAGTGCATACAAACTACAGAGTAAAGTACAACACGATCAGCCGAATAAATATTTCACGTCAATAAACGCACAAAGTGGTTGAATGTAAGAGGTGGGATTAACTGAGTGCCACGTTTTTATTTATTTAATATTCACCATCCCCTGTGTTGAATTTAACCAAAACAATATTGATACCTTACCCAACTTTCATGAAGGGAAATGTTGATAAAGGCCCCTAAAGGATAGTGAGTGCTATTTGAGGCTGTCGCTGTCATGTAATTGCCCATACAGTATAACACTAATGATGAAATCAATTGAAACTATAGAGCAGCTCTCTCAGACTCAGGGTCAGCAACCTGGCATCAGGTTGCAGTGATCCCTTGGGTGTCAAATATTCATCTCCTGATAAGTTTTGTTCGGCCTGTCCATGTTACTGAATGAGCATTCTATTTTTTTACCCCATTTAGAAACTATTTATATACAGGGACAAGCATATAACACATGGCTGTTTGTTAAAATAAAATATGATTCTGTGTATTGCTGGGTATTTTATGTAAGTATTACAAAATAACTACTCGTAAATGAAGTGGTCAATTCCTATGTAAATATCTCCATTGCTGTGGGTATACCATTGAACAGATTAGTTGAGTCTAATAATGCATTCGTTGCTGTGGTTACAAACTTTTGTTTTTTAGTATTTTAATTGAAAAGAACTTGGCACCACAGACAGAAGTCTAATTTGACTCGAGAGCTGTGGAACAATGAAAATCCTGATGGTGTAAATGCTTACCCCGAGCCCTCATACTCTGATGGTGCATTGTCTTTGAGTTGTGCGCCTTTTGGCGTCATCTGGTCCAACACCAATGGAGACTAAGCTCTAAGGAAAGCTGTCTCGGGTGTGGACCAATCAACTTCAAGGACAGTGCATACATTATCAGAGTTATGTTTTTTGTTTGCATTATGACTGCAGGTATTGTGGTCTATGCAAACATGACTCCTCGTAAAAAAAGGTGTCAGTTTTGTTGCCAGAATAAAGGGTCAAAAACCAAATATCATATTTTTACTGGCAAATGAGGTACCAATGGAATGAGACTCCTGTAGAAAGGCCTTGAGGTTGGCTCATCGTGTCCCACAGACTTCCCCGACTCCCCAGGTGCTCGTTGTAGTGATCAGCTGCGCCGTGCCAGGTGTGGAACACGAGGCCAAACACACGCAAACTTCGTGCCTCTCCGGAAAAAAGGAGGATAGATTGATGGCCAAGCTGTGGAGGTGCAATTAAATGTGTAAGGTCTCCATTGCCCACAAACGAGAGAAGTAGAGAGATAGGTCTTTCTCATGGGAGAGATCGAATAAGAAATTAAAGTGTTTATACTTTTCGACGATTCACGATGTTAATAGTCTGTTCTCTTATAACGCGGTAGTTGCGTTCCTGAAGAACACCGCGCATTGAAAATAGCACATTCTAATGAATATATAATATACGGTAACACGTGAGATGCGTATTCCGGCTGAACATAGACTGAGGCGCGTGGGTAGCTTCTGGAAGCATCCAGCAGCATCCCCAATGCCTCGTGTGATTGCTACGCCGAGGCAGCCGTACAACCGCGTATTCCTACTCCTACAACGTACTTCCGTTCACTCAATCGCGTTATATCCAATCGGCCTCCGCGTTATATATTTTTTAAAACGCGCGTTGCATCCAATTCGCGTTATGAAAACACGCGTCACAGGAGAACGGATTGTAGAAATCCGCGCATGCTACCACTGAACTGTGAGCAGAACGGCAGTGGCTCTGGGCACTGCTGCGTGGTTCACGTCGGCCCGAACGCGATCGCTCGTACCCTTGGAAAGCCGCCCCATCATCACGAGACAGAGAGCCACACACCGCTGAGCGTGCAGTGTGAGTGGAAGCAGTGCCGCATTAAGCTGGTGCGGGTTCTGTAGCATATGTTATTAAGGGGCCCTAGATTTTTTATTTTTAAAACACACAAATATTAAAACACACATTTTTTCACTTGCATAGTAAAATAATTGTATTTTTTCATTTGCCATGCAACCATATATTACGACAAATCGCTAACCTTAAACACCCAGTCGTTCATAAACGTTGAAGGCAGTATAGTACTATAGTGATAGAACAAGTGCAGAATCACTGAACCGGAATTGATAGCTTGAAAGCATTTAAGCGCGGGGGCCCTTGAAAGTGCGGGGACCGTAGCACTATGTAGGTAGCTACTCTTGCTACGAGGATAATCCGGCACTGAGCGGAAGCAGTGGCGAGGCAGAATCAGGACAAGCTGTGAAGAAGATCTGAAGATTTGCCGTTGCTGAAGAGTGACCGTGCAAAGACTCGTCGGCGAATACGTGGAGGTAGCTGCGACTCGAAGAGAAGATCTGCAAAGAGGAGAGATCACCGGAGCTGTGCCTATCAAGTCACGAGTCTCAACGAACACGAGCTCAAATTTCGATTTAAAGCTTTCGTGACTGCAGGGATTCATCTTCTTGGTTCTTTCGGTAAAGTCACGTAGAAGGGAAATAATAAAATAATAAAAATAAGACATAATAAAATAATTCTCACGACGTTTCGCAAGCAGTCGTCCTCAGGTGAAGAACAGGTCTGTCGGAAAGACAGACCTGAAAGACAGACCTCATTCAGACGCTGTCTTTCCGACAGACCTGTTCTTCACCTGAGGACGGCTGCTTGCGTTGTGGCCGAAACGTCGTGAGAATTATTTTATTATGTTTTATTTTTATTATTTTATTACTTCCCTTCTACGTGACTTTACCGAAAGAACCAAGAAGATGAACACGAGCTCATTCGTGGCTTTACAACGACAAGTCGGTGGACTGTCGTCGCGGTGAAGAGATCTGTCCAGCTGTCACCTGATGGGGACGAGATTGCTGTGCTGGAAGATCGTGCGCCTACGCTTCGACAGAGTTGAGCGCTGACAACACCGCCTCTTCTGCGCTGCCATCAGCATCCCACATCACCATGACGGTGACCGTCGTTCATCAAGCTGGACAGCTGCTGCCACGTGTGGCTGTGTTGCTGCAGTGTCGCGTCGTTACTATTTAACGAAAAGTTTTTATTTGTATTTTACCAGGTAAGGCCCGCTGAACTATATATCTATGTTTTTCATAAACGACACGGCTATCACAAATGATAGCTCAACGAAGTGGCTTATCACGTGGATATTTCTAGCAGACAAATACTCAAAACGTGTGTTTCTAAATGTGGAGGGGAAAACCAGAGGACCCGGAGAAAAATCCACACGACCCGGGGAAGAACATGCAAACTCCAAATATACAACAGGCGTCAGGGTCGAGATCGAACCCACGACCTCCTGCATACCAGGCGAGGTAGTTAACATTTCAGTTTAACACGAAGGCTTTTGCGACTAATATCGTCCATGATACATCTCGCCACCGTGGCGCCCCAAACATCGATGTGCACTGCACCGGAGGATGCCTCGTGCGCAACTCCTCCTACAGGCGAGAGAAAACGCATGCTTATCGACTGAGATCAATGATACCAGACAGTGCTGAAAGTCCATTCGTCAATAAGCATCACAACTACTTCGAGTCTGTGGTATCAAGTCCTTATGAATTTTGAGTCGTGTGTACACATTTGCTCCTTTTGATATTGGGCGGTTTTTTCTGTTTGTTTTTATACGCAGATTATTGCCCGACTGATTTGCTTTTTGATTTATACCAATATACATTCAGAACAGTTATACCGGTCACTGGTTACATACTAATGACTGGCAATCGGGCTTTTAATCAAGAAAATAGTGGCTTGCATTAAAGCCCTGTACCGGTGTGCGTGGGTTACCAGGCGTATGAAACCATTCCGTTGCATGCGACGATATCAAACGAAATCTGCTGATCCATGGGTCACCTGTCATTATTCAATTATACCCGAGAAACCCAAACACCCAAATGATTGATACATGACAAGTGGTACGGCACCACGTACACACGCCGAGCACGGCGCCCTATGAATCCGGCAAACCCGAGCTTGCCCATTGCCATCACCAGCGGCGAGGTGACATCTGAAGCCGTCCTGGCCAGTGACCAGCACGGTGAAAAGTCACCAACAACAACCGCCATTCGCGACTAAGTGGCGGTGACATCACCACGGCGATTGTGCCAGGCTATGTGCACGTTAAGGCCACGTGAAGTGTCGAACGCCCGCTGGCAGGAGGTCACGGGGCAGACCCAGCAGGTGCCACGGGTCGCCTGACCGAGACGACTGAGATGACTGGCTGATGCACCACCTGTGCTCCCTACTGTGCCAACTTGCTGCGTTTTAGCCACCCGGCGCTCCGCTCGTTGTTGCGAGCATCGCTCCTCTGTCATCCGTTGTTGCCGGAGGGCGACTGCCTTCGACTGCCCAGGAGCGGCGTCCTTCACGAGCCTCCACCAGACACCAAACCAGCAGTCGACTGATAAATGGACCATCGGTTGGGTTGGTTGGGTGGTTGGTTTCGTTGAGCGAGGGCGTCGCACAGGCCGTTCGACACGCGTGATTGCCACGACAACGTGTGTCCATCACGTGAATCGAGGCCACATCCCTGCCAGTTCAGTCACCTCGCTTTGGGTTTTGTCAATGTCGGCCAGAATTCCGGTAATCGTTTGAGTCTGTCACTTCCCCACGGTTATCGTACGAGCCTTTGACTTATGTTATCAAAATATTTAGAAGACATCAGCACAGTGTATCCTCAAGAATTGATTTTTTTTGTTTACAACGGGGCAAATGCTGTATTTGCCCCCATGAACCCACAAGATACATACAGCTGACAAAGCAGATGAAACCGATATATTTAAGTAAGATATAAAGGAAGTGTGTCAGTAGTGGTGCACCATATTGCTTACATGCCTCATCACATTTGGTACTAACACTGCCTTGTATCGTAAACATTGAATAATGGGCTCATATATCCAATCAATGGTCGATATGAAAATATAAAGAGCTCATTGTTTTTGCTTCAATGATTGTCTTTTGCTTTTCATTTGCATAGAACTTCAAAGAGAATTTTCCCCCATGTCGCCTTTAACAGACTTTTGGGGCAAATGCTGTTGGCGAGCGTCTATGAAGGCTGCCGCGGTACACGAGGGGGTGGGTGACCAGCACCACTCCCGAACGCCTTTGTCTCCTCAGTCGAAATGTTTACACACTGCACCAGGTACTCATTTGAGGCTCAGTCAACCTAGAAGGAGGCTCAGGACCAGTTCCGATAACAGTCACTGGTGTTGGCCGTGAGCGGCAATCGAACCCGTGTTGTTGCGTTCGTAGCGTCTCCGCTCTCCACATGGATCATGACACACACACGAATAATTTTCTTCAAAAACAGCATTGAAACTGAATCCCTCAGCTCAAACACCAAAGTAGTCACTTTTATTACTAATGTTAAGACTATAAGCACAGATCACGTCACACACTGCACTGGAATATGATGACTTCGCGATGTTGATACTGGTGTCTTCCTCAGGGTCACCAATCACAAGCCTCTACCACCCAAGCAGTGTTTAGCATATTACTCGTTTCTTTTTAGTGCATAATTTTCGAACAGAAACATTGCAGGGGTTTGCATAAATACACTGGTTGTTATTTTTTTTTTTATTTCTTGCCACTCCTGCAGCACAACATCCTAAATATGGCAATCATGGATACACCTGTAAACGTTAAAAACAAAAAATCTCACCAAAAGTCCTGATAAACGGGCAGCAGTGGATGCTCAGCGACCCGTACTTTTAAAGGCACATCGTCATTGCGTTTAGAAACGTCATCGAGGCAACGGGGTGCAATTTTCTTTTTAACGCGAGCTCCGTAAGGAAGGCAAATTCCACTCAACGTCTCCAAACGAAGACACCTGGCAGCGGTCACTGAGCATCTGCAACCAAGGCATTTCCCACAACTCTGTCAACTCAAATCCCATCACATTATATCATCAAAAGCCAGCAATGAGATTTAACAGACGTAAATAGCAATTTTAGAATGGCCCACAGCTCACACATATGCCACGTGGCACCACTGCACCGGCTCTTGATTTAATGCCGGTGACTGTGTGCAACTTCAACCGCGCATGTCAGGACGGTCGGTGGAAATTTACCTTTCGTGCGGATTTGGCAAATTATACGGTAATCAGCATTATTTACTTATTTGGTGTTCTTTAGATGTAGCTGAACAAATGTCTCATGACTGCAAGCAGTCATATTGAGAGAGGCCCTCTGCTCACAGCAACTCTGTTTGGTGCTGGCCGCTACCTTCACACAGCGCATGAAGCGCAGTACAAAAGGTACCTTGAGGCCCATCCACAGCCGAGCGACATTGCGCAACTCGGTCGCATGCAAGTTGCCAGTTGCGCAACCGGTTGCTCAAAGTAGAGACGGATTTTTTTTTGAGTGACGTATTTCACCACGTGCGCAAAGATGGTCATTTCAATAACACGGTGTAGGTGGAGCTAACGATAAAAAAAAGTGGAGCTAAATGTAAATGGCGATTTCGAGAGCGATTTGATTGCGCAACTGATTGCGCAAGCGTGGACGAGCCTTCAGAGAAAATGAGGAACATTCAGCTTTGGCGGAGTGGAGATGACTGGGCATTTGTCTCCCAATGGAATGCACACGAACTGAAGTAAAAGGGAAGCATCAAACAAGTGCATAACCCCTCGATGAAATACAGGGAAGACGTTTAAATAAGGTGAAATTACCATTCCATATTTTCCAATAGAGTAACATGTTTCTCAGGGGACAGAGTCAAATAGAATGTTCCATGTGGGAGAATGTTAAGTTGGGGGTTTTTTTCAATGAGGATTTTTTGGGGGGACATAAAAATTATGTTTTACGGCATAGATTTCATCAGATAAGAAAAATGCATGCCTCATTTAGAAATCATTACTATATAGGTATCAATCATAGAAATTGTATACAGTCATGCCTGTATAAAACGTCTAATCTTGTGTATTTTCACCGAATTTCATTGCATGTAATAAATCTCTCAACAAATGCGGCACCGTCGTTAGACCAATTTAACACCACGAACCAAAACCGCGTGTATCTTGAGCGTGGAGCTACAAAATAGCACGTTCTTGGGACATTGGTTAGATCTCTACCATTACTGGCCAAAATGTGTCCATCACACATCACTGAATGACAAGGCATGAGAATGCTTCGTCGACAACGGGCTTACAAAGCTAGAATAAAACCCCAAACATGATCTTGATATATTTTAAACGATATTAATAATACTGATATACCTCATGAGAGCCCTAATGGTCAAGTAATTTCCAGTATTTGCTAAATTGTAGATCGCGCTGACAGAATGTGGCACATTTTAAATTAGTAAACACGAACAACAACAACAACAAACAAAAATACCCCTACAAATAATCAAGTAGTAAAATGCATTAATTGCATCCCGAGTGATACACATCAGCAACAACAACAAATCCACGGAGACACCAAATGTGTTGAGAATCCTGCGTTCGAGCAAGCGGCCATTGCGTTCTGTGAGAGCGGCGAGTGGATCCTGTCGGGACGTGTTCTAGCCTTCCACGGTCAGACTGCAGCATGGCATCTCACTCCATGTGCTTGTACTTGGTGAAGAGGTTGTACAAGACTCGCAGGGTGGATTTCAGGTCCAGGTTTACGACATCTGAAAAGAAAAAAAATTGTGGGAAAAAAACCATTGAGAATGATGTTCTGAAAATTAAAATCAGAATCTTAATCAAGACTGGAGGAATCCAATGACCTATCAAGCTCTTTTTCACAAATGTCCAAAAACAGCAAGTAAGTTAAAGGATAGTAATAGGTTTTTACCCTTTCAACTGGTACAAAAACTGACACCTTTATACAAGGCATCATGTTTGCAATAACCACAACACAAGCAGTCAAAATGCAAACAAAAAGAAACTCTGATAATGATAATGATATGCACTGTCCTTGAAGTTGATTGGTCCACACCCGAGACAGCTTTTCTTAGAGCCTAGTCTCCATTGGTGTTGGACCAGATGATGCCAAAAGTTAAAGGACTTTTTTGATACGGAGTGGCTGTGTAGCCTTGTAGTCGAAGAATGTATTATCAAGAGCATTTTAATGGGACGGTGAGAAAAAACAACAATTTCAATATTGCCCTCTGCTGACAACATAGCCCAACAGCAGCAGCCATCTACGACACCTTTAATGGACGGTGTTAACCCACCAAAGCACTATCCAGGCTCTAACCTGCTTAGCTTCCGAGATCTGATGGGATCTAGGAATATCGTCAGTGATTCTGTCAGTGGTGTTGCATTAAACTGTGGCTCAAACTTGATGAATAACCCACGTAATAATCCACTAACAAAATATTTGCCAGGGCATGAACACCCACGTGTTGATCAGTGTAAGGGGCCAAACTGTCAAAAGGTGTTGTCATATTTGGCACAATTTATTTGTGTCAGGAACATCCAATGAGTATATCTCAGTTACAAGGATGTTTGTGTATCAGGTCTCTGCCAAATTACTCAGAATGGACCTGATCTCATTAGATCTCAGAAGATAAACTTTGATCGGTAACCACCGTGCAGAACAAAAACGAATTCCATAGGCTGCTGCAGAGCTACGTTGTAAGCAGAGGGTGTTGCAGAAAATTCCATCGGTCTGCCCTGTTAATGCTCCAACATCGACAGTCCCACCTTCACAAACCCTCGCTGACCAACGCGTTGGAAGCATGGTCCAATAACCCCCGCTACCCGCACCTCGTGGGGAGGCCCTCATCCTACAGTGAGGGCTAATGAGAGGGCTGCACTTGTATGTGTTGCTCATTTACAAGAATATCCCCATCTCGGGGAGGAAAGCTTGATGTATATATGTACGATTAACTTATTTTGCACCGTACGCAACCGTGCAAATCGGACGTGCGGGGAAGGGCAACAAACTAAACATATGACGATGCGGTAACCACAGCGCAGCGTTCGTGAAAGCATGGTGATCCAGTGGCGAGGGGAGCCTGACCTTCGGGACGCGCTTTGGGCTTGTTGAGTCCCGCGTCCTGCATCAGCTCGAATGCAAACGACACGTTGTGCACCTGGAACAACAACACGGCACGGTCATTTCCAATCGTGCCGCCGGCAGAGAAACCGACGCTCAGCAGAAACGAAACTCTCCACCCCGTTCGTGTTTTCTTACGTTGGCAATCAAGACTGGGATATGGATTTTTCGACATCTGGTGACGAGATGCTATCTACCTCGCCTGCTATGCAGGAGCTGGTGGGTTCGACCCCTACTCTCACGCACGTTGATTTGGAGTTTGCATGTCTCTCTCCCCGTGGTCAAGTGGATTTTTCTCAGGCTCCTCTGGTTTTTCCCTTACATTTTAGATAAAATGCGTTTAGAGTATTTGGCTGCCATAAATGTCCACGTGATAAGCCACTTCATTGAGCTATCATTTGTGGCCAGGTCACCTCTTAAAAAGAGTGATATAGCTCAGTGGGCCATATTTGGTAAGATCAACATTGTTAAGTCCAGTTTATAAAATAAATAATAAAATAAATAATAAAATAAACATCTGTTGTTGTGTTGTTGAGCAGCAAGTATAGTGTGTGAACTTCGTAGTTTTGTGGCCAACAGCAGTAACTATTATCTGACCCAGTCCTGGGCCTCTCCTAGGTCGAGTAAACTGAGTACCTGGTGCAATGTGTAAACATCATCACTCGAGAAACACAATCCGCCAGGCGTGGTGCTGGCCACCCTCCCCCTCGTGTGCCATGCTGGCCTCCGTAGGTGCTTGCTAACAGCACTTGCCTCAACAGTCTGTTCAGGCTACATTGGGAATCTTTAACTTTGTATGAATGTGGGAGGAGAGGTGGTGAAGTGGATAGCGCACTGCTCTACAAACCCAGCCTCCTGGGTTCAATTCCCAGCCACAGCTAACACCCGTGGCGAGGGATATCTGAACTGATCCAGGGTCTCCCCTGGGTCGATGCAGCCTGTGTATGCACCTGTGAGTATTTAAATGTATCTTTCACCGTATTACCTTCTGCTCGAAGCCCTCCGGAGTGAGGAAGAAGTTATGCAGCGGCACAAAGTAATCTTCCAGCAAACCCATAAGAAGCACGAGGTACACTCCATCTGCAAACTATCACCGCACAAAGAGACAACGCGCGTGATATCAGTTTCATGGTTTACTTTGGGAGGTACAATTCAAGACACTGACAGGTCGGCAATGTTCGCGGTGCTCAACTGCCTGACATGTCTCTCTGCCACTTGTCTCCTTGGTCTTCAACCCCGACACCGCTCTGCTGTGTGATCAGGTAACGCTAATTGACGAGCTTTACTGGGCTTCTAATTGACATTTACGTCAGAATGAGTACTGTTCCACAACCCGTTGTCAATTCACTTCCTTGTTTTGAAAGCCTTTCCACGCCATGACGGTCGTGGTGGTTGTTTGACCGTACTTCACCACACTGGTCAGCATGGGTTGAAGGGACGTTTCAGATATCAGTCACGACTGATGTTAGCTCTGGCATGGAATCAAACCATCATTATTGGGTTCATAGGGCAGAACACTAACCACTACTTTACTGCTTCCCAAAGAATTGCTTTATTTGATTAAAAATTGTAACATTGATGTGACGATAACGTATCTTGCTTGTGGACAGCATCAAAATGTATACCTCCTTTCTGTTGACTCTGATGAATGCCTTTAGAATGCAGTGAATGAGGCAGGCAGACAGTTGTAATAATAACCAATGCATAAATCACAGCGAACTAGCATTAGTGGGCATTTAATCAGAAGTAATTTTGCTTTTGGTAAATGGAAAGCCACTCAATATACAAGGGGTGCGACAGTGGTTCCCGCTCTGCGCTATGAACACGAGTTCCATTCCCGCCATGACAAACATCAGTGCCGAGTGAAATTTGAACCGACTACACGCTCATCAACAAGGGGAAGTATGGTCAAACAACCCCCGCTTACACTCTATGGATGTTGGGGAAGCCTTCCCTACCGCAGTGGATTAACAAATGCATGTAAGGAATTTTATTCTCCTAACATCTTAACGGAAACCCAATGATTGTCTACGAGTGAGTGACATCATGGCAGTGACATCCACAGTGCATGGGACTTGGAGAAATGGGTGTCAGTAAATCCTTCCTGGAATAAATGTAAACACTGCATCTGGGAGATAACAAGCAGCGATGATGAGGGGAACACAGTCAAATAAATGGAAAAAAGTATGGCCCAGTCTCGACACTTGTACGTTAAACCCCAACATGGAAAAAAAAAACACACCTAATGCAGAGAATGTTCTTCGCGTATTTTGCAAAAAACCCCTTCGTCGAGTTTACATGGACTTCCAGCGAGTCACGCGCAAACCTTGCCTTACAGCGGCTTGGATGCGTGGCGCATAGAGAGAAACGTCTGAAATGACGCCGTTGTGACCGAGGTGCAAATAGAAAACACAAAACACGACTCTGACCTGTGAGTCCAGGTCAGTGACCTCAAGGTTCAACTTGTTCAGCTGCTTGTTGACAAATGTGATGAGCGACTGCGAAAAAAAAAATTCAACAAGTAAAAATAACATTCCTCAGCGCAGCGCTGCCCTTTGATGAGTGCCGGATTAATGTTATCAGGGCCCGCACACCAGAAAGGTACGAGCCGGAAAGGGATGTTTAGGAGGAAGAAGCAAACATGTTTTATCCTGACAGCTCAGGCCTAAGCAGCCAAAGCCTTGATCTGTCTGGCCAAAAAAATTGTCAAGGCGCAAGTTTGTCCAGAAGAAAATCGGCGAGCGGGAAGAATGGGATGACGAGACGCAGCCTCCGGATACCTTCTTAACGACGTTGAGCTTCTCTGGGGCGTGATCGAAGAGCGTGTCGAAGGCGTCGCGCTCTGTGGGTTCCCACGCCACACACGCATCACAGAGCGCCCACTGTAACTAAGGCGTTCATCTAGGAGCTTGTGAAGCTTCGAACAAACACGGTCACCGCATCGCGCGCGCACTTTCAGATGCACTTCTGCGGCCGTCTGGAACGCTCTTCCTTCCGACATTAGCAAGCCACTGGGGTTATGCACTTTCAAATCCAGATTGAAAACTAATTTCTTTAGAAATGCTTTTTCTTTTTAGTTTGTTGTCCTTCCCACACACCTCCGATTAGCACGGTGCCAATGCACATGTGCTGCGCTGCTTGTGATCAGGCACAAGTAGCGCAGCACATGTGACTGTCGCGAGCCGATCTGATCTCAAATGCTCCACCGTGCTTGTCAGTTCTCATGCATGAGTTCGACTGCTGTTGATTTTATTTCTCTCCGTGTGCTTCTACCCTGTCTCTTGTCTCTAGTCGCATTCACTGTCCTCATGTACTATTTGCTGTGGAATTTTGACAAATGAAATATTAAACAAACATCGCTGTGCCTGCAACGACTATAATTAACCAGTTCATTACAGAAATGCATTTCACGAGTTCCAGGTGTGTAACAATGCAGATTAATTGATTCGAATTAATTCCTACGCGAATGATGATGCATGCATTGGGCTCTGTGTGTACGAATCAGTTTTCTGATTCATATTTGTTGCATGTGAGTCCTCATGACCCCAGCTGCAACTCGAGGAGCTATATTCACCACAACATTCATTTTAAATAAACATTTGCTACTTGAATAAAATCATAACAATTTATTGAATTACGACAGGGAGGTGAATGCACATGTATAAAAATGTATATTTAACAACTCACCATATTTTCCAGTCATGTCTCTGTTGGGAAAAAAATGTTTAAGGATGAAAGAAATTTACAATGACTACTGCATTTTCATCTGGCTCTACTCGCTTCCATGAACTCTCCGCTTCAGCAACCAGCGCTTCCTGCCAAAAAGCCCCCAGTCAACCTTCGCTCGGTTCAATCTTTCCTGCTGCCTGCATAGTGTGGAACTCCCTTCCTCCAGACATCCGTGCTGTAGGCTCCCTGCCCATATTCTAGTCCAGCCTCAAGACTACCTTTCCTGTTCTAGATTTGAAGTTTTTGTGACTGCAAGGGTCCATACTCTTTGGTTTTTTCGGTAAAGTCACGTAGGTAAAAAAAGAAAATAAATGAAATCACGACGTTTCGGAGGCAACACAAGCTTCCGTCTTCACCTGAAGACCTGAAGACGGACGCTTGTGTTGCCTCCGAAACGTCGTGATTTAATTTATTTTCTTTTTTTACCTACGTGACTTTACCGAAAAAACCAAAAGAGTATGTACCTTTCCTGTGTCTACCACTGTCACTTTTGCTCTATAAAATAAATACCAGTGTGGTTCAAGCCACGGTGCGAAGATGCTAACTTCCTCGCCTGGTATACACGAGACATTGTGTTTGATCCAGACCCTGACGTCTGTATATTTGGAGTTTTGCATGTTCTACCTGTGGTCATGCAGATTTTTGTCCGGGTCCTCCAGCTTTTTCCCTCCACATTTAGAAACATGCATTTCAAGTATTTGGCTGCTATAAATTTCCACGTGATAAGCCACTTCGTTGGGCTATCATTTGTGGACAGGTCGCTTCTGAAAAAGAGCTTGATAGCTCAATGGGCCTTACCTGGGAAAATAAAAAAAATAGTTTAGTTAAATTTTTTTTCATTTTTGTTTCATTCCCAGGTGAATATAGTATGCCCATTTTTTTCGAGGATTCCCAAGTCCCACTGCTTGCGTAGCGTCTGAATATGCTGTTGCATGTGGAGGCTCTATATATGAATCTAAAACGCACTGCGCGTGTAGTGACGTGCGCTCACTCACTCGGTGGTACTCGTGATCTCCTCTGTGACTCTGTGGGAAGCGAGGCAACCATCCCTCTTCTGTGAAAGAAAAGAGATGTTTACTAATAGCCTACAAAATTAGACCAGTACTCATTTGTTTGAGGCAGATCTGAGTAAAATTAAATACACCATAAAAATGCAAAAATTTACTACTAAAAATAATTTAAATAACATTAATATGCACTAAAACAACGATTTCCAAGTGTAAAGAAAATTAATGCAAAATTGAGAATTAAAGCATGGGATGAAATAGAAGAATGGGAAAATGTATTGGTACAAACTAAACATGTATTCAATAACAAAACTAAAAACTGCTATTTCAATTGTATTTGAAATTAAGCACAACCATGATTCCAACACAGTGCAACATCCACACAGCAATTACACTTGCAGAGTACATCCTAATGAAATAAATGTTGATCAACCCTTTATATGCTCATGCAGATGAATAATTCTCGATTTTTTTACTGTGGCAACATTGTTAATTTTCACAGAAATGCAGGTTTGTTTTTTTGCTATAAAAGCTTATACACCTTTTCAAATGAGCCATTCCACAGTGCCTTGTGAAAACCAAATAAAACCTACCAAGAGAAAAATAGCTCTCGAAACATTAAAAAGAGCATCAAGCTATGTAATTAATGAAATTTAAATAATAGTAATGATTCTGGGTCACACAATTCACTTGGTAAGCAAGTTTCTTAGCTTAGGGCTAAAGAAACAGGAACCCTGATGCCCAAGATCATTTTAGTTTGAGTCAAGATTGGCCATGCAAGCAAATAAACCAGAGGTCTAGGACTACCTCATTAAATGAATAAATATTCCATGGTAGCTGCAGCATAAATTAACACGGTGCCACTTGAAACACAGCACTCTGTCAAAGTCCGCCGCTAATGCGCTACTCCCACAAAGCGTAAAGCTGTCATTATAATTTCACAAAGGCGTGCATGGAAAGATGTAGCCGCCAAATACTTCATAACCTTCCCGTTGTCTCACAGGATCTGCATTTAGACTCTCATCAGACTTTGCCTTTCTCAAAAAGTGCGACGTAGCATCCAAAGAAATAGCCCTCTCAAGAACGACTGCAACATTGGTTGTAAATTAAACATGTCACCGTATATTATATTATATTAGTATATTATTATATTAGGATATTACGATATTATTTTATTATTTTATTATATTATTATATAATTTTATTATATTATTTTATTATGTTATATTTTTATTATTTTATTACTTCCCTTCTACGTGACTTTACCGAAAGAACCAAGAAGATGTCACCGTACTTCACAAATAAAAAAAAATTACATAAACCAACGAAAAAACGATATATCCAGCCTAATAAACGCATAAATCCAAGTTGTGGTTTTGGCATCTAACCTTATGATGCAGACCTGAAATACTTTCCACTGTTCCAGTAGTCATTGTCTGGAAGACAGTGTGCAAGCAAGAATGCGTATTTGCTCACAAAAGATTACTTTTTTAATCTTAGGGGCATAACATTTTAAATGTTGTTTAAAATCAGGCAGGACATATCATACCGGGTCTCTTAGAACCAGGGTTTCATCCTTAGGACAATCATAATATTACTACTACTACTACAGCAAAACAGAGTTCCTACCTGTACAACGATGACCTGGACAGACACGTTCTCTGGCAGGCGGATTGGTGCATGGAACTGGATGGCGAGTGCCACCAGCAGGTGAAGGATGCCCACCAGGTTTTTGGAATGAATCACTGCAGCACAGAGAGACATATCAACGTGGATCACAAATAGTAGTGGCCAGGTCAGCAAAGTGGTCAAATTCGTTTTGCCACTAAGTCTGTGTGCATCTAGTCGATGATTCAAGTCCTGGCAAATGCCTGGTGAATTATAAGCATGCTGTAAAGCAGACGTCGAAAACACACTGCAGCATCGCTTTCTAGAGAGGCCACTATATTCAGCTGGCATAGCCAAGAAATAAAAAGTGCTGAAAAGTGCACAAAGAGGCATGGAGAGATGCCTGCTTGGCATATTACACTGAGAGCGAGGAAGAGGAACGCATGGATTAAAGAATGTACTGAACTTAAATACATCATATTGATCGGGCAGGATGTCGCTGGAATGGATGATGGCTTGTGGTCAAGACTAATGATGTAGTAACCAAAGGCAGGATCACGCCACCTAAGATATGCATGTGAGCTACAACTGCCTTGTGTGCAGGTGCTAGGTGGATTGATACATCATAGGATCGTGATAGCGACGGCTTGGGGAGGCCTTCATGCAGCACTGGACAGACTACGGCTGAAGATGACAGACACAAATACACAACCTGAAACCAACCGACAAAAAACGAAACGATTACATTAACAAACAAAAGAACGACCACACATTTTCCACCCTGCCCTTCTGTAACGGCTTCACCACCAGCAAGAAAGTCCCGGTCTCACGCGATCGCACAGTCCCAGCGCATTGGCCAGCGGCATCCGACGGTGAACTCACGCTCCACGTTCCACTTGATGTTCCAGTTGCGCGGCCGCAGCACGGCGCTCACGGCCTCCAGCACCGTCTGCAGCTTGTGCTTCTGCGCCACCTCCGACTGCGTCACCTCGGCCACGTTCAGCTTCTGCTTCCCCAGCTTCTCTGCACAGGCGGGGGCAGCACCGGCGGTTACCGGCGTTCCTCTCAGCCCCGCGGACGGGTTCTCTGTGCCAGAGACGGCGACTCAACCGTTGCTGCTACGGGACCCAATTGAGAAAATGAGGTGAGTCGTCTCACGTGCTTTTGCTGCTGATTAAGGTTGCAGTGTGAAATATATACACCGTGTGGGTTTTGAGGGGTTATTTGACTTTACTTCACCGCGCTGGTCATTGCGGGTTTGCCAAGTGGTTGTTGGGGGGGGGGAGGTGAGGTTGGATGGGAGGTGGGGAAGTTGGCCAGGATTGGTTCGGATATCACCCGCCATGGATGTTCGCTGTGGCTGGGAATCAAACTCAGATCCACACCTGGGTTCAGGGTGCAGTGTGCGATCCACTGTGCCAATGCTCCATCTCCCTTGGAAAAATTAAATTTGGGCTTTTGTTCGTAAACCATTCTCACCCATATTACAAATAACGACTGAAACATTATTATCGCGACTCCTAAACGCTTACCATTACAATGTAATATTCAAGTCAAGGAAAGCTTTGAAGGTGCCTTTGCTTTGTGTTCTTCTGCAGAAGTTCACTGCCATCTAGTGGACAAGTTCGCCAAAGTGCGGTTTACCACCAAGTCTTACCGCCTGTGGTGACTGTAGGGGTGGGATGAACCCATACAAACTAGCATGCAATATAAATGTGTACGAATAAAAACTACGGATTATTTACGTGATTCAATGCACGTATTGCAACCTTAGTAATTATATTCATGGAGGCGTAGTTACTACGCTCCTATGGTAAACTATAAACTAAACTATTTATTTTATCAGATAAGGCCCACTGAGCGATACAGCTTTTTTCAGATGCGACCTGGCCACAAATGAAAGCTCAACGGAGTGGCTTGTCATCACGTGGACATTTACAGCAGCCAAATACACGCAACACAGGTTTCCAAATGCGGAGGGATAAACCAGAGGACCCAGACAAAAATCCACACCACCACGGAAACATGCAAACTCCAATTATACAACAGGTGTCAGGGTTAGGATCGAACCCATTATGTCCTGTATACCAGGCGAGGTATTAACATCTCACCAGAGGCCCCATGTCAGCACTATACCCCTCCCCCACTGTTTATTTTACCAATTGGTAACGGAACCACATGGGATTTTATTGGGGCGATACAACATCTGTTTCAGCTTTGCACTTTAATAGAAAGAAAAAGGGGAAATCGTCCAAAGTTAATGACGGCTTTTGGCTCTTGCACTCAATAAGCGGCAGTAGCAGGCCAAGTTTATCTGAATCCAATGTATACCCTCGGAATCCATTAAGCGTTTTTAAATACCGAATACTGCCACCGGGACAGCAGGGAAACGTTGCATTGCAGGGTTCTGCTGGTAAGAAGATAATGATTTTGTGTAGCTCACCGATGTGACCATTGAATATTAAACTGAAACGCCAATTCTTCAAGAAGTTTCCAGCACACGGCGTGACATGCCATCTACTTCTTTCGTACGGCTGATGTAGATGCAGAGCAACAACGACAATTTCACATTCAGCTGGTCAAGCCAGATAACTGTCAGGAGCAGGGGAGTGGATCGCCCTGTCTCCTTCATAATTGTGGAACGGGCATTGCGTCATCATACAGTTGTACCGTCTGTTCTGGATGACCACAGTCGCAAACTACTGGAGAGTTTTACATTTTAAAATTGTGCATCATGTATCAACATCTGCCATGATTTGTGCAGTGAATGCGGTTTAGGGTGGACCATGCGATTCGTGGAAAATCAAACAGGGATCTTCTGCAACTTGGGTCTTTCATGTGAAATGCCAAACTAACAATACGCGGCACGACCCAAAGACGTGAAAGCCCACGCAGTAGTAAAGACAACTTACCCAGGAGCTTCTGAAGAACCTGCCCATCAAAAAGATCATCCTCGAGGCTCTTGACGATTATCCTGTCTTCTGCAAGCACGTCATTAATCCAGTCTATCAACACCTGAGACACACGGTCAAACACGTCATGTCACTCGCAATCATATTTCATAGGTTCTAGACACGTGGCCACCATGGCGTTAGCTTGCAGGCATTAATAGTTCCGGCCCTATGTTAGCAATTATATGTACAAAGGCCTGTCGTCTGTGCTTTAGACCATCAATAACCAAATACAACATTTTATATTCATATACTGTGTTTAGAATGTTTATTTTATTTTATTAAATGGCAGCAGTGCTATACTATGATTGTGCTTTTCTTTACACAAAGTGTAAAACTTACCACTTGTTATGCTGGCTTTCTAGAAGTTGATTCAAAGAATCATAAAGTAGCCTTCGTCTGACTCTGTGAAACTTGGGCAGTAACACTGAACCATGAGAATTCTAAAGCTGCCATTAACTCTAAGCCACTAGCAATTGCATTAAACCCAAAGAATGTTCACGGTGACAGTCTAGCGTTCCATGCACGATTGAGTCATTTGATGTGTGAGTGCATGTGTGTGTGCGAACACGTAATTTTAATCCCTTGTGAATGCGCCGCTGGGGGAAGGCTTTTCCATGTCACATCCATCATGGGGGTTGTTTAACCATACTTCACAAAACTGGTCAGTGCAGGTTGGTGAAGTGGATGCCCAGGATGGGTTAAAATATCCCTCACCAATGTTGTCAGCCATAGCCAGGAATTAAACTCGGGTGACTAGGTTTATAATGCAGTGCACTACGCCTTTTGGCGTCCTCTGGTGTAGCACCAATTGAGACGAGGCTCAAAAGAAAGCCGTATCTGGTGTGGACCAATCAGTTTCAAGGACAATGCATATATTATCAGTGTTTTTTGTTTGCATTTTGACCACAAGTATTGTGGTTAATGCACACATGATTGCTTGTAAAAAGGTTTCAGTTTTGTTGGCAAAAAAGGGGGAAACCCTATCATTATCAATGCATTACTACACAAAAAAAACTGTTAAAAAGTTAAACATTTTTTTTTACCTGTATAATAATGATAGTTGCCATAAATGAAACACAAGGCGGTGAGAGTTCCATGTTAAATTATCGTCATTACAACACAGTACACACACCGATGCTTCCACAGACCTTAATCAGCTCCTGCAGCTTGGGGTCCCTCTTGGACTGCGCGTCGATCATGGTGCGCTCCTCGTTCTCCTCTGAGCGAGAAAGACAGCGGCGCTTCAACAGCATGACCGGGGCCACGCGCGCACGGGCTACGTGCACATCAGATCCTGAGCGCGGATATCAACGTGCGTGCGAATGGCTTGTCCCCAATGCGGGCTGATCCGCACGCAATGCGGTTAAGAATCAATATACGGTATTCACTCTTCATTCTGATATTAGGGAGCCACTGGAACTGCTCTGTACTTTGAAACAAGTATAACCCGTAAAAACAAAGTTTTTCACTATAAATCCTTTATATGCGTGGCGGCTAGAGTCCTCTCGTTCTCTGGCTTGAGATGGCTGCCACCTATGGGTCAGATGATTGCATTGCACCATTAAGCAATTGGTAATTAAATTTAATACTTTTGTCCTAAAAAGTGTAAAATTTTGGGAAAAAATGTTCACGAACATTAATTGTCACGCACAACGAGTGTGTGTGGAAAATGTCAGCTCGATTGGATCACGGGAAGTGGGTTAAAAAACGACCGAAAGATTTGCACGGTCGTAAGCAAGCAAGCAAACTTAATATAAAGGATTTAAAAATGTAGATTTACAACTTATTTCTTTAGAACTGCTTTTTGTGCCTAGTTTGTTGTCCTTCCCCTGCACCTCAGATTAGTGCGATTGGCAACGTAAGGTGCGAAAAAAGTTCAACATACATACACAGGGCGCAACAGCAGTGAGATGTTAACTACCTCGCCTGGTATACAGGAGATATTTGGAGTGTGCATGTTCTCCCCATGGTCGTGTGGGTTTTTCTACGGGTCCTCCAGGTTTTTCCCTCCACATTTAGAAACATGCGTTTAGAGTATTTGGCTGCTACAGATTTCCACATGATAAGCCACTTTCTTGAGCTATCATTTGTGGCCAGGTTGCTTCTGAAAAAGAGCTATGTAGCTCAGTGGGCCTTACCTGGTCAAATAAAATGAGTTGAGTTTATAGTTTTACATAGGGGCATGGTAACTATGCATCGATGAATAGAATTACCAAGGTCCCGATACGTGCATTGAATCGCATAAATAAGCCATGGTTTTTATTCACATTCATTAAATTGCATGCTTTTATGGGTTCATCCGACCCTTACAGCCACCACAGGTGTTGCCATGTACCGCAATGTTAAGAATAAATTACATAATTGAATCGCTATCATAATTCTCAGCAATTCATCATCATAACGCCCCGGGGGGAGGGGAGGGGTAAGGGGGTTAATGTTTACTCCTTTAGTGTACAGCAGCAATAGCAGTGGGCAGTCATTTGCACTCAGGCTGCATAGCTTGCGTTGTAAGCTTTGCACCCCAGAGAGGACTTTGACTCGTTAAATAAACCACTCCATAAAATGGAATGTTCCATCGCCCTCTTTGGTGAGCACGGGTGCTGCCGGTTGTGAGGACTCTGCCATCCAGAACGTATGGAGGGATAACTTAAGAGAAGGCCATTCACACACAGGTAGTTTCCACATCAAGGATGAGGGTGTGCCTCTCTCCCAGAATGCTTTCAGCTCAATACTTCCATGCTGGCCACACGAGCCAAAGAAGTCAGGTGGGTGTGAATGAAACACTGGTCGGAGACAAAATAGGTCGTCAATTCCACAGAATATGGTCTAGTAATGTTTCTAAATCCACTGGTACTCAATATTAAAGAGGACAGTTTTAGTATATCAAACATAAAAGAAAATACATTTATGGTTGAAATACTTTTATTTTTGGTTAAATGTGTACTTTGATTTGCAGTTCCTCTTGAGACTTTGAAAAAGTCTTCAAAGTATCAAGAGGTCAACTATACATTTTTGTTGAGGTCGGGTGGTTCAGAGGTCAGACCAATCGGCCAGAACTGGTGAGATTCTCGGTTCAAATCGAAGATTTGCTTGACTGAAACCAGGTTTTCAAGTGCAGTTATTTGATGGTCTCAGCACAATGACCAAACACATTCCTGCGGAGGGAGCTGGTAGGAACGTTGGGTTGCTCGGTCAATGGCCAGGGTCAACGGCTGCGTGGTGTATTCCCCAAATATGCCCGACTGTGAGGGCGGACACAAGCCGACGTGAGTAGGTTAAATGTTGAGTTTTATAAAGGCACCACGGGGTGACCATGCCCCTCCCCACCCAGCCCCACCCCTCCCACCCTCCACCCAGCCCCACCCTCCCCAACCAGCCCAACCCTCCCCATCCAGCCCCTCCCCACCCAGCCCCACCCTTCCCACCCTCCACCCAGCCCCACCCTCCCCAACCAGCCCAACCCTCCCCACCCAGCCCCTCCCCACCTTCCCCACCCAGCCCCTCCCCACCCTCCCCATCCAGCCCGTCCCCGCCCATCCCCACCCAGCCCCACCCTCCCCACCCAGCCCCTCCCTGCATGACGGACGGACACAATAATCCCCTGTGGGCTGGTGGAACCAGTGGGTTCCTACCAGTAAAAACCCATGCCATTAAACCTTGTGCCACACTTAATTTTTTTTCTAAATTCCAGCTCTGATGATAAAAAAATCCTCGCATGTTATGAACATTACTTTCATATGCAAACCAGGTGGGAAAGTGCTGGCCTCTACTCGAAGTACAAGTGGCAAAGTGAAGGGATCTCAGAGGTAGCATGGTGATATCTGCTTCTGTGGGTCGTTTTATAACATGACTGGTTGCACTGCTTTGCAAAAGATCTAGAAGGTCGTTTTGTCCAATGACACAACACCACAAAACAGGATCAGTTTGCTTCCTTTTGAACATTACAACTTAGCAAATAAATGAAATAAATTGTCATTTTTGCCCACGTGATTAGTGGCTCTTTCGGGTGGTGTAAGATTAGAAAAAATGTATAATCATATCAACACGATCTAACAAAAAAGAGACAAGTTATGAATCATGATAGACATCTGCTCATATAACAATTAAAAGCCTGAGTCTGCACAAACCTTTTGTCAGGAGGATCCTGTTGAAGATTTTTGGCCAATGTTTTGAACATTTTTGTGCGTGGGAGGAAACCGGATTACCCGGAAAAAAAAAACAATTATATAAGGGGACAACACACATACGTTTCTGTGCCCCTGTAGATGACTGGAGGTATGACGCGCACAAGTAGCCTAGTGTGGTTGGTATGGGCCCTCGTAAACGTTGAAACAGTAAAGATGCAGCCCTGCAATTCCTTGTTTACGACACTGCTAGAAGCTCTCCACGAGACAGAGCTCTAGAGAGCCCCCTCCAGAGGCTATTTTGCCTACTCTTCCACACTGACATGGGGCGCCTGTCCAATTCCCCCGTCCCCCCCTCCCACCCTCTTGGCGGCCCAGTGCCTGGGCCGAACCTGCTCATGGGGTCTGGTGCAGTTGCACCGCCTAAACCCTGCATAGCTCCTGCCACTGGGCTGGCAGGCATTTAGCTGGGCCGGCTCGACATCAGACGATTCACTTACGCACCAAGGAAGGTGTCCTCCGGGCGGATGTCGGGCAACGTGTTGGAGAGGGGCGAGTTGATGGCATTCTTTCCTTCCTCCTGCAGCTCGTTCACTGCTCGCGGGGCAGGGAGAGAGAGAGACGGGGCAGTGGGCACAAATAGAAAGCGACGTCAAAGTACGGAGTACACGCTGCAGGTTGACCGTAGCTAAACGGTGCGTTTAGTCTACCAACCCATACATGTGCATGTGCAGCTCTTTCATTGATGCACTGCTGGATGAGGGCCTCCCCATGCCATGTGGGGTGTGGCGGTCATTTGATCATTACTTTACCATGCTGGCGAGCGCCGGACGGTGAACACGAACCATTCACCCACCACAAAGCAGGTGACTAAGGAAAACGTCTTATTCGATATCAATTACGATAACATAGCTTATATTAAATAACGACTGGAATAATATTTTAAATAATGCTGAATGAAGACCTCCACCCCCCCCCATGCCATTTCAGTCACGGGTTATTTTGTTTTAAGCATACTGCACCATGCTGGTCATTGTCAATTGGTGAAGGAGTGGTGCCCAGGACCTGTGAAGATTTTATAATAATAAATCGTATAATAACAATCTAATATCTAATACATATAATTAATTTCTTCATCCATGGAAGCCACACTGAGTCTTAAGACTTTTTTTCAGGAGGGTGCTGCATTGTGTTTTTATTATAAGACGTTTTCAGCCAATTAATGCTGAGTTGTGTTTAATATAAACACAACTCAGCATTAATTGGCTGATACGAGTAAGGAGGAAACCAGAGCACCCAGTGAAAACCCACGCACACGAGAGGGCAACACTCTATCCCTATACAAAGGAAAACAGATGGTGAGTAATCTACTTCCTGTACTGCCTTCCCTTGGCGACATTGGGTATGGCATCTACTAGACACCTGCGGGGAAAGGAAGGTTTCATAACATTTGTGTGCGATCGACCAACCCTTGCTGCCTCCACAGTGCTGGACTACAGACGTGCATCAACCACTGCCCCGGCACTTGGCACTGATGTTAGCCATGGCTAGGAATTAAACGTAGCTGGGCAGGCTTAGAACACAGTGCATGGACTACTGCTGCACCGCTCCCCACGTGTTGCGTAAGCACAGGTTAAATCTATTAAATGAGTCTCCGAAAATGAGAAATGTGAATGATGTATAGCTAGCACGTACTTATGTTGAGGACACGCTATGAACGTGTCATTGTTTAATTACAGTACAAATCGAAGACAGTAGATTACAATCAGTAGATCTCCCACACCTCTGATGAGCACGGTTGGCTATGTACAGTGGCGAAAGAAGTTCAACATGCATACATACAACCAAGCATTTCTTGTTGACTTTTGTAGATTCCTCTCCACAGGAATCGTTTTTTTTTAACAGCACTCAAAACATATCTATTGCTTGGGCTCAGACAACTATGAAGCTTAGTCACCCAGCTTGAACACGTTGTTATATTATTTTTATGTTAACTACCAAAATGCAGCAATATAATTTTATCCCTTAACAGCGGTCCTCATTCCATTTAACAGCAAGTGGCGAAGCCGATCTTCCATCATCATCAGCAGCCTTGATGTATCGCGTGCCGCATGAAGGCCTCTGCAAGCAACAGCTTACCTGCCCCCTTGGACTTCACTCCTCCAAACAAACTGTTCATCTTGGACACGCAGGGCACCACCGAGCTACGGACTGCGCGACGCAAGGCAGCACTAGGCTAGGAGCTGGGAAATTAAGCGAATGGTTCTTTATAGTGTGGGGACCCTGTGAGTGTGAGCTGTCAGGAAGTATACGCCCAGGCTCGTGTGCCCACTGTGGGATAAAACGGCTGGGAAAGCGAGCAGCAAGGGCCACGCCTGCCCCTCCAGATACCGGGGTGTCTGCAAGTGATGCGGCCAGGAATGATATGTACTTTGCGGTTTGCACCGTGGATCGCACTCACGCGTATAATCCACAGCTATCGAAGGGGAGCAGACGTATTTAAACAATAAATAATGTTGGTAGAGCTGCCATGGAAACAAAAGCCGATATACTGCAGTTAGAACACGACAGACAATAGACAGATGAGTTCTACTATTTGCGTAGGTTTCTGCTGTCGTGCTGCACAGCTCCCTAATTCGTTTGAGGGTTGTTCCCGCATATTGTTCGGCAAGATTGTCCAACATTTCACTCCACATTCTGGGAGCTTTCAAAACTCCACCATGCTGGTTGGTGTGGGCTGGTAAAGGATGGCAGTACCGAGGACCAGTTCAGATATCACCTGTCAGTGATGTTAGCCTGGGCCAGGAATTCAACTTAGGTCCACACGGTGGAAAACTTTGTTCAGCAATTCCTGAAGAAGATCCCAGCACGAACACCCCAACACGTGGTACAACCTGAAAATGCGCCATGGACGTAAAACACAAGAGTGATAAAACACCAGAAAGTGTTTTAATTATTTCTCTTGTTGTGGGCATTCCCCTGATAATCTTGAAGACTGTGTGGGTTTTTGTTGAGGTTTTCATTGGCAAATGGAACTTTCTAGTTAGGGGAAGGGGAAATAAAACACCCGGGGTTTAACATGCGGGTCACGATTCTGAATTTACTTTGCCAGTTCAGCAGAATTGTAGGAAATCTGGGAATGATTTAGGGATCCCGTTTCCTGCGGACCACTCTCCAAGAAGGAAATGGGATGATTGCTCTGCGTGCAGAGAAAACACAAGTGAGACACATTTCACCGTCCACTCAAAAGTTTCTTCCCACCCTCGTGTCAGATCAAACACACGGCGGCAGCTGACCACACTTACCGGTGGCGAGTGCTAAAAAAAATGAGCATCGCGCGGTTTAGAGTTTACATTGTAGAGAATGAACGCTGCAAAAGTAGCTTCAGAACAGACACAGGAACGGCGAGAGCCTCCGAGAGCTTAGCTTTGAAGATGCCCTCCCTGTTCTCCGACTGGATGTTTTCAAAATGTCATCTTACATGCAACTTCTAAAATGCGTGGATATAAAGCCACGCTTTAACCTCCCTCACTCGTGGGTAGTCATTGGCATTAAGGGGAGAATTACCACAAACAGAAACATTCTATCTGGGAATAATAAACGTCACACACGACAGTAGCTGACAACTATAAGTGACAATGACTTGCCAGGCGTTATCATAGCAAAGTGTTTAAGTTAATATTATACAGCACAGTACCACATCACTACTATTGAAAGCACACAGACATCGTGATTGAAATAACCGCAAGCTGAAACCGAAAAAAATATACGTTGGAAACCCAATTTTTTTTTTCTTAAATAGTTAATTAAACCCACCTAAAATGTAACAACTAATTAAAAATAACGAACGGTGAAGGTGCAGCTCAGCACTTTGTTCCTCACGCCACGAGAAGAAGCTCTGAAGAGCTCCTCCTCTGAGAGGGCAAGAACGTTTCAGAGCTCGGCCTTTTTCAGTCCTTGGGCCTCAAGATTTTGAACGGCTCTGCCTGAAGAACTGCGTCTGAACACCGATATTCTCCCATTGAGAAAGAAACTAAAATGCTACTCATGTCTGAGGATATGTTGGTAAACTGCAGATGTGCGGGGTTAATTTTGTATACATTTTAACTATGATGCTCTGAAGCCCTTTTGCTGAGGTCTGCTACACATCTATAAAAACTAAATTTAAAAAAATGTAAAAACATAAATTATATGTTTGAGTCCACTCTGTCCACGCTGTTGGCCAGGCATCTTAGAAAGGTATGAGTGCCCACACTTGGCCCCACCAAGCATATCCGGCTGATTAAGCAAATAAAAATAAATACTGACAGTCTGCTCATCGTAACCGGCTACAGTATTCAAGGACAGCCTATCAATTAAACATTATGAGCGGCAGATAAAGAACAAAGATTTATAAATGTTATCAAACAACCAAGTCACCCATGTGTTTCCATTAAAAGCTTGGTGCAGGTTGAAATTGCTAAATCATAGCCCACTGGACATTATTTTGTGTTAATGACGAGCAGCCTGAACACGTCCTTTGGACGACGTGTGCCTCCCACCAGCCAGCCAGCCAGCAACACTCTTTTTAGAATAAAGTATAAAGCCAGGAGAAAAAATAACTTCACCGTTTCAGCAGTTTTCAATGTGCGTTTTCATTCCACTGTTTAAATAAAACGTATTTTTAAAGCCCCATTAGAGGAAGCTGGCAGGAGGCGGTGAGTTCGCATGGAGTAACCTTGACGATCCGGGGGAGGCGATGCACCAAGAGAAGCTGGCGCTCGCCTGGGCGGTTCCCGCAATGCGGCTGCCAATATTGGCAAGGCCAGACGCGCCCTCAACAAGCGCCCAGAGACGAAACCGCAAAACGCAAAGTTTGAACTGCCGACTGTCCCCAAGGGGTGCTTCAAAACTACGTCCGCTCCCGCTTCCAGCTAACCTTGACTGTGATGTACCGATTACTCAGACAATCGTAAGGGGGGGGGGAGGAGGAGACACGTATCCGCTCTTCAAAGCCACAATATTTTCATCTTGGGTGACATGATGGTTACTTTTGAAATATGTTTCGTGTGATGACAGAATTCGATCAGTGTCAGGGCGAAGCTGCGCGTTCGTTGATCTGGAGCCAGATGCATGCATACCCACCCACCACCATCGCTACTGCACAATTCGTTGCAGCTTGATCATAAAAAGGGCTCATTGCACTGTCTGAACGGTTTGACCACAATATTGGCTAATCCACTTGTACTCAGATTAACATCAATCTACACTATACAGTGTGGGTATCACATGCATTCAGTGCATTGAATAGAAATGCTATAGCTCAGCACACATGACTTAAATAATTAACGAATCCATGGCTTTGATTTTCCATACGATTCGTTATAGGCAATGGGTTCACGTGACCCCTGAAGCCATTAGGGGGGCTGCCATTCAACGCAATGTTAAAATATAATTGATTCTTGAATCAGATTGTAAACCCGCATCACGGAAATGAATCAAATCACTGGAGGGATCCGTCTTTACACCCCTAGCGTAGAGAGTCAAGAGCAATGTTCATATTTTGCTGGCCATTATGTGGGGGCGCGGTGGTGCTGTGGTCAGCGCACCGCGCTATCAGCCTGGCTAAAACCGAGTTCGATTGCCAGCCACAGCTAACATTGGTGGGCAGTAAAACCCGAACCGGTCTTTGGCCTCGGCCTCGCCATTCACGAACTCGCACCGACCAGAATGATGAAGTATGGCCAAACAACCCCAATGACTGACATGACATCACCTCTGATTAGCACGGTTGGCTAGGTACGGTTTGTAGGAAGTTCAACCTACACAAGTTGAACAAACATAGGAAGCCTTCATCCAGCAGTTGAATGACAAAACGAAAAAAATAAATACTGTTATATATAATCCATTCAGGTGTTTTGTTATTCAGCCGATTGATTATAAAACCCTTACGACAGTACTGTACTTAACTTAATTTATGGACAGCCTATTATTTTTAGAATAACAAACTTTATTTACATATTGTAGCATGCACTCCTAATGTCAGTTTGCCTTTACTTGTTCCATACAGTATTAATTGTGTATTTTATTCAAGGTTGGTAAGTTAATTCTAAATATTGTATATTTCTATTGATGCTAATTTTCCATGGTCTGCAGGATATATGCCTTACCCTAATTCATCAAATAAGAGTGGACGTGGAAAATCCATTACCTAATGTACCATGCGGGGCCTTGGATGTGGGATTAAACTTGACATGCCAACGGAAATCTGCTTAGACAGCAGGGTACGGCATATACGCAGTTTGCCATTGTCGTGAGCAGCGAGTCCAGCCATGAATCATCTGTTGTAGCGCAGTGGTCCTCAGAATGTGGTGCCTGGACCACTGGTGGGTTGTGAAGGTCCTTCAAGTGATTCGTGGGGCTGTGATGCAAATGCAGGTTGATCCAGGCAATAATGACAACGTTTATACATTTTGTTTCCAAGGTGAATTAATATTTTACTTGTGATATTTAATTTAAAAAAATTAAGTTAAGTAAACTACCCTGATGAAACTACCCTAACCCTACGATCTAAATGTCCCCCCCTCCCCTGCCCAAAAAATGTAACCTTATCACTGCATTCAAAAACAATGTTTTATGTTCTGGTAAAATGAATCCCTTTGCATTACTGGCATTTAGAGAGATAAGCAAATGTGTTTTGTCACTAGGGATGGGGGGGCTAGGTGGTCCGTGGAAATATTTGCATCGGCTAAGTGGTCCGTGGTGCAAAAAGCTTTGAGAGCCACTGGTGTAGCGCATGATGCTTCGGGTGTCAATCCCTCTTGAGGGCTGCCGTGGTGAATGCCGCTTCAGCAGAGCAGATGCTCGCAACCTAGCTTGGTAAAGTAATGGAAAATGTAAACGTGATGTATGCACACACGTCTCATGCCACATCAGTTCTTATTGTATTACCATCTCAGTGTCAAGCGTGTATGCTATGCCATACACGCATGTATACAACCACGTGCATAATCACCGGTTGTTACATGGTCGTGTCTGTCTCCACCCATGTCTCTCTTTGTCTCTCTTCATGTCTTTCCCTGCGTGTACATTATCTCTCTCATTGTCCCTTTGTGTCTCTATGTCTTTCTCTAAATCCATCTTTTGGGTTCTACGTTGCCTCACCCCATGTACACGGGACCCCACCGAGTACCGAGAGGGCCCTGAATATCAATGCTGCCCAAGTATTTGTTAACGCCACTGCTGAGAGAAGGGCCTCCACTAGAGAGGGGCTCTCTAGAGGGTCGTGTATTTTGCCAATGTGAAATGTGCTGCTGGGTGGACATAGGTGAGTCGATTCAGATGCAATTCC